CGAAATAAAGATAAAGATAGAGTATATATTTAGATATATTTAATAGTAATGTGTCTTTCCTTTGACACAACGAAACAAAAGGAAATTTAATGCTAAACTCACCATAGTCATATGAAATGGATTGCATTTTTCCCAAATATGTCAGATTTTGTATCTCATCTGTTGACACATTGTTTTACGTAAGCAAAGCACGTGAGAGCCTCACTACTTGTTGGATGGAAAGACACTAGGTAGGTGTGTCTACCTTTTTAAAAGTAAACTTTTGATGCACGTTCATATCAACCACTGCTGTCATTACTGATTGCTAGTGACATTGCTAAAATCTTACATGTCTAACCTTTGGGGTTTGTAATGAATTCCATTCATTAATGAAAATGAATGAAATCTACGACAAAATGGGCAGTAACTTTAATTTTCGCAAAGTTCCCTGCCAGACGTGGTCACACCTGAGTGATAGCGCTGCAACGCCGTGAGAGAAATGGCAGCTTCTGCTCTTGGGAAAAGGTTTCTCGGGCAGGAACACGGACACCTGCTGCCTCCCGAAAGGCGCCTAAGTTTACTGAACTCGCCAACCCGTATTTAAGCTGTCTAGAATGGAAGCGACTCTCACACCGCCAACTGAGTCCACATTCGCCGTTCCCTCAAAGTCCTCCATAGCAACATGCGTGGGATCTTCCTTGCTCTGAGTGTGGCGTCCTTCGCCTCCGCTACGGTCTTCCAAGACTGCGGTGAGTCCTCAGGTCCTGCTTGAGAGATGAACCAGGAATACTTTTTTAAGACAAAATTCCGTTCATATATGTTACGATTAGAGAAAATGTGTGTATAGAAATTTAATAAATGAAAGTAAAAAATAGAAAATAGTCCATGTATTTGGCACTACTCCCCCCCTCCCTTTCCACCTGTACCAAAACCCGCCGTCGACGCTCTCAAGCAACTCACGTCCTACTTTTCGTCGCTGTCGTGCTTGCATGCATAAGTCCGTCAACGTCTGATTTCATGCACAAGAAACGATTTGTGCAGACTAGTTTATCTCGCGCCCTCATCGCCTCGGACTCAAGGTGCAGCCTCTTGCCACAGATAGAATAATTAGAACTAGAAATAAATAAATACATAAATAAACACATACACACACAGACACTCACGTACACACACAAACACACATACATGTGTGTGTGTGTGTAAACAGTTCAAGTAAAGCGTGTAACTACTCCATTCGACGTTTGCTTCTTTTATTGTTACCTACATTATCATCAGAAAAGCCAGGTGTCAAATGCGGTTCTTTTAATTTTGAATTTTGGAATTGCATCTTCGTCTGACGTCGTCCGCTTCTCTCAGTTGTGAATTTCCTTGTCTGCTTTTGGACATATTTTCCTATATCTGGAAAGAAGCACAAAGATATGTGTGTATTCTTGCATATACACACGCGTGCGCGCATGCATATATGCGTAGATGTGAGCGTATGTACATGCATTATCTGGATGGAAAATGTTCAACTGTCTAACTTATTTGACTGAATATTAAATCATTTAGAGCAACTGCTTCCCCTTTTCTATTAAGCTTCATTTTTTCTTTCTCGATTTTTGCTCTATAGCCCGAAGTTCAACGACGCGTGTGATAGACGATTCCCTCCGGTAATGGATCGTTTCCCGAATGTAAGAGGATAATATTTTTTATTGATTTCTAAGGAAAATAGTAAGACTAGATTTCTCTTCTGTTTACTTTTCTGTCTCTCAACCCTTTCATTTCCCAAATGTGCATACGTTGAAATATTGTCATTCGCTTTTTTCTTCAGTGTTATATCAACACCATGTTAACTTATAGTGTATATATACATATATATACATATGTATATATATATGTATGTATATATGCATATATATGGGTGTGTGTATATATATATGTATATATGTACATGTGTACGTATGTATATATATATATATGCGTGTACGTATGTGACAATGTATGTATATATGTAGGCATTTTGTTCCTGAAGCTCTTGAAATCTTCTATAGCGACTGTTCCTTTCCTTAGCCATTCAGTAAATTCAACTGTCCACTGTCTTTTACCTTTCCACTGTAAAACTATTCTGAATAGATAAAGTAGAGTTAGTCCAGGCCACACCTCAGACGTGCTGACCATCGCCGCCTCAGCCAAACTGGCCGGCGTGAACGTCCCTTGGCCCGGAATAGACACCGACGGATGCAAGCAGCTGGAAGGAGGTTCCAACCCGTGCGACTGGACCATGCAGGTGGACGTCCTCAACGAGTACCTAGTGGTCAGTGGCACGGAGGAGGGGAAGAAGGGAGAGAGGGAGGGAAGGGGGAAAGAAGAGAAACAGGCAGACATATAGACAGGCGGAGAGAAGGATAGAGAGGCCAAAACAGATAAGTTAGAGAATTGTGTATGTAACCATCAGCTGTCGACCGTCGTGATGTTCAAGCTGAAGGACGCCGACGGGGACCTTGAAACGTGCGTCGTAGTTCCTGGGACTCCCGTATGAAAAGGATGTTAAGTTTCATGAAATGTGTCGGATTTTGCATTTCACTTGTTCACACGGCATTGTTTTTGTGTTTTGTTACGTAAGCAAAGCAAGAACCAAATGCATAGATGAAAATGGAAATAAATAAACACCGAGTGAGAGAGGGAGAGAGAGAGAAAGAGAGAAGGAGAGAGAGAGAGAGAGGAGAGTGAGAGAGTGAGAGGAGCGAGGGCGGGGGAGAGAGAGACAGACAGATAAATAGATAGTTAGAAAGAGAGAGAGGGGGGGGGGGTAGACAGATAGACAGACAGTTAGAAAGAGAGAGAAAGAGAGACAGACAGACAGAGAGAAAGTCAGAGAGAGGAGAGAGGCTGGGGGAGAGAGAGAGAGACAGACAGATAGATAGATAGAACGGGGGGGGGGGGTAGACAGATAGTTAGAAAGAGAAAGAGAGTGAGAGATAGAGAGAGAGAGAAGAGAGAGATAGAGAGTAGCGACGCCGTCTTCCCACAGCGCTGATGTCTGCGCTTGAGATACGTCTGGCGATTCACGCTGACGTAACCCATTGGATCCAAGGGTGCTGCAGTGTCTAATTTTGTCTTATTAAAATTCTAATCTTGTTCATCCTGACTCATCTGCTGACAGCATCTCGAAGGTAATAAGGAATTAAGTTGATAGTCATCTATAACCAGATTTTTTTTTCTGTCGGAGTAAAAGACCTCTGAGACGGTATCAGCGGGTGAGGCAACGCTGCAATTGCATCTGCAGCCTGTGTTTGAGCAATAATCTCTTTGATTTCTGGTACGGCGTGATCATACCTCAGAGATAAGTCTGCAACAGCATGGGAAGACTGATGCTCTTGGGAAAACGTCTCTCTGGAAGTATCGCAGACACCTGCTGCCTCACGATAGGCGCCTAGGCCTCCCGGTCTCGCTTCCACATCCGTATTTAAGCGGGCGAGAATGGAAGCGACTCTCACACCGCCAACTGAGTCCACATTCGCCTTTCCCTCAAAGTCCTCCTCAGCAACATGCGTGGGATCTTCCTTGCTCTGAGTGTGGCGTCCTTCGCCTCCGCTACGGTCTTCCAGGACTGCGGTGAGTCCTCAGGTCCTGCTTGGAAGAGGAACCAGGAATACTTTTTTTTTAAGACAAAATTCCGTTCATATATGTTACGTGCCACTGATGGAAAACGATCGCGTTCCAGGCTCGGTCGGCTCCGACGTGGTCCTCAGCGTGGAGAACTGCGAACTGCCTCCGTGTCTGCTGGAACGCGGCTCCACCTACAGCGTCAACATCCAGTTTACGTCCAGTAAGTCACAGCTTTCCACTCGCTTTTCTAAGGTTTATTTAGGTGTATCATCTATGAATATTTTCTAAGAAGGGTCTATAAAATTAGATGTTTAGTTATCTTACCACACGCAAACTCATCAGTCATCGTCGAGAAATGTGTTTTCGTAGGTGAATTAATTGTTGACTTCGACCAGGCCAGACCTCGGACGTGCTGACCATCGCCGCCTCAGCCAACCTGGCCGGCGTGAACGTCCCTTGGCCCGGAATAGATACTGACGGATGCAAGCAGCTGGAAGGAGGCTCCAACCCGTGCCCTTACAGCGGCGGCAGTCGCGTCGACTGGACCATGCCGGTGGACGTCCTCAACGAGTACCCAGCGGTCAGTGCCACGAGGGCGGGTAGAAGGAGAGGGAAGGAGGGAGAGGAAGGCTTATGACCAGGCTTTCATTCCATCTTTATGTTAATAAATACTATGTAGTACGGGTTTTATGAACGAGCCGGCGAGGTATTTCCGCTGCCACCCACCTATCACTGCCCGGTTACACCGCTCGCTCCCGCATTAACTCAGGGTAACTCTGGAGCTGCCAACTCTGCCACGCATGAGCTCGAAGCTCGCTAGATCTGAGAAGTTTCACGGGGCCATGCTAATGATTTTACTCATAAGATTATCGCAATCTTAATATATAGTATACGGGAATAAATATTGTAAGAATCGTATGAAAAACCCAGCATGCTCTCTCTCTCACACACACACACACATATATATGTATATGTATATGTATATATGTGTGTGTGCACGTGCGTGTGTTTGTATATATAAATATGTATACCCATACATTATATATATATATATCCATATACATACACACACACGTGTATATATGTGTGACAGTGTATGTATATATGTAGGCATCTCACTCAGTTCAGCCTCTGTCTGATTCTTTTCTTAGTCGAAATAAAGATAAAGATAGAGTATATATTTAGATATATTTAATAGTAATGTGTCTTTCCTTTGACACAACGAAACAAAAGGAAATTTAATGCTAAACTCACCATAGTCATATGAAATAGCTTGCTTTTTTCCCAAATATGTCAGATTTTGTATCTCATCTGTTGACGCATTGTTTTACGTAAGCAAAGCACGCGAGAGCCTCACTACTTGTTGGATGGAAAGACACTAGGTAGGTGTGTCTACCTTTTTAAAAGTAAAATTTGATGCACGTTCATATCAACCACTGCTGTCATTACTGATTGCTAGTGACATTGCTAAAATCTTACATGTCTAACCTTTGGGGTTTGTAATGAATTCCATTCATTAATGGAAATGAATGAAATCTACGACAAGATGGGCAGTAACCTTGATTTTCGCAAAGTTCCCTGCCAGACGTGGTCACACCTGAGTGATAGCGCTGCAACGCCGTGAGAGAAATGGCAGCTTCTGCTCTTGGGAAAAGGTTTCTCGGGCAGGAACACGGACACCTGCTGCCTCCCGAAAGGCGCCTAAGTTTACTGAACTCGCCAACCCGTATTTAAGCAGTCTAGAATGGAAGCGACTCTCACACCGCCAACTGAGTCCACATTCGCCGTTACCTCAAAGTCCTCCATAGCAACATGCGTGGGATCTTCCTTGCTCTGAGTGTGGCGTCCTTCGCCTCCGCTACGGTCTACCAGGACTGCGGTGAGTCCTCAGGTCCTGCTTGGGAGAGGAACCAGGAATACTTTTTTTAAGACAAAATTCCGTTCATATATGTTACGTGCCACTGATGGAAAACGATCGCGTTCCAGGCTCGGTCGGCTCCGACGTGGTCCTTAGCGTGGAGAACTGCGAACTGCCTCCGTGTCTGATGGAACGCGGCTCCACCTACAGCGTCAACATCCAGTTCACGTCCAGTGAGTCACATATTTCCACTCGCTTTTCTAAGGTTTAGGTATATCTTCTACAAAAAACATATTTTTAAGATTGGTTTATGAAATTAGACGTTTATTTATCTTACCACACGCGATCATCAGCCATCACCGAAAAAAGTGTTTTCGTTGGTGAATTAATTGTTGACTTCGACCAGGCCAGACCTCGGACGTGCTGACCATCGCCGCCTCAGCCAACCTGGCCGGCGTGAACGTCCCTTGGCCCGGAATAGACACCGACGGATGCAAGCAGCTGGAAGGAGGCTCCAACCCGTGCCCTTACAGCGGCGGCAGTCGCGTCGACTGGACCATGCCGGTGGACGTCCTCAACGAGTACCCAGCGGTCAGTGCCACGAGGGCGGGTAGGAGAGGGATGGAGGGAAAGGGAGGGTGAGGAGAAAGAGGAAGGGAAGGAGGGAAGCAGAGAGGTAGAAAGGAACATTAAAACTGTTTTAGGAAAGTGAGTATATAGCCATCTAGTTCTGTGTCCCTGACTGACGAGGTCCTATGTCCTCAGCTGTCGACCGTCGTGACGTTCAAGCTGAAGAACGCCGCCGGGGAGCCTGAGGCGTGCACGGTGGTTCCTGTGACCCTCGTATGAAAAGGATGTTAAGTTTCATGAAATATGTCGGATTTTGCATTTCACTTGTTCACACGGCATTGTTTTTGTGTTTTGTTACGTAAGCAAAGCCCGCGAGAGCCTCACTACTTGTTGGATGGAAAGACACTAGGTAGGTGTGTCTAACTTTTTAAAAGTAAAATTTGATGCACGTTCATATCAACCACTGCTGTCATTACTGATTGCTAGTGACATTGCTAAAATCTTACATGTCTAACCTTTGGGGTTTGTAATGAATTCCATTCATTAATGGAAATGAATGAAATCTACGACAAGATGGGCAGTAACCTTGATTTTCGCAAAGTTCCCTGCCAGACGTGGTCACACCTGAGTGATAGCGCTGCAACGCCGTGAGAGAAATGGCAGCTTCTGCTCTTGGGAAAAGGTTTCTCGGGCAGGAACACGGACACCTGCTGCCTCCCGAAAGGCGCCTAAGTTTACTGAACTCGCCAACCCGTATTTAAGCAGTCTAGAATGGAAGCGACTCTCACACCGCCAACTGAGTCCACATTCGCCGTTACCTCAAAGTCCTCCATAGCAACATGCGTGGGATCTTCCTTGCTCTGAGTATGGCGTCCTTCGCCTCCGCTACGGTCTACCAGGACTGCGGTGAGTCCTCAGGTCCTGCTTGGGAGAGGAACCAGGAATACTTTTTTTAAGACAAAATTCCGTTCATATATGTTACGTGCCACTGATGGAAAACGATCGCGTTCCAGGCTCGGTCGGCTCCGACGTGGTCCTTAGCGTGGAGAACTGCGAACTGCCTCCGTGTCTGATGGAACGCGGCTCCACCTACAGCGTCAACATCCAGTTCACGTCCAGTGAGTCACATATTTCCACTCGCTTTTCTAAGGTTTAGGTATATCTTCTACAAAAAACATATTTTTAAGATTGGTTTATGAAATTAGACGTTTATTTATCTTACCACACGCGATCATCAGCCATCACCGAAAAAAGTGTTTTCGTAGGTGAATTAATTGTTGACTTCGACCAGGCCAGACCTCGGACGTGCTGACCATCGCCGCCTCAGCCAACCTGGCCGGCGTGAACGTCCCTTGGCCCGGAATAGACACCGACGGATGCAAGCAGCTGGAAGGAGGCTCCAACCCGTGCCCTTACAGCGCCGGCAGTCGCATCGACTGGACCATGCCGGTGGAGGTCCTCAACGAGTACCCAGCGGTCAGTGCCAAGAGGGCGGGTAGGAG